TTTTCAGGCTCTTGAGAAAGTATAAAAAAAATTGTCCTGACCAGGAGTATTTCAAGGATCTCCAATTTGGACCGTCATTTTCAATAATGTCCCAGTCTGGCAACGTTGTTGAAAATATGAAAAAAATCTCTGCGAGGACCAAATATAGACCCAAACAATTATATTAATCAATGAGTTCACCGAATCAAAAATGGCACATTAGAAATAAGTTGTGATTTTTAAAGTTCGTAACACTTTATATAAAACAATAAACATAATCTTTAACAACAATTACAAAACATGCCTTGTTGTAAACATTCGATTGTTCATTATTGTTATTGATGCGTTTACCTTACCATCAGTATCTACTTCTTTTATCATCTCTTGTAGTTCGGCATCTGATGGGTTCTGTCCCAGAGCCTTCATGACCGTTCCAAGTTCCTTTGCCGACACTGTACCATCACCATCTTTATCAAAAAGGCTAAATGCCTCCTGAAATTCTATTGGAGAGATAAAAATCATTATGAGCTACTGCCAAAGAAAAAAAATACTGATTGAAAAAAAAGCCTGACACGTGAGACGTGTAGCACGTTTAGAAGTGTACAAGGTCTTAGATTCAAATCCATCAAACGTCGGAATGTTGATGTGTCCTTGAGTAGGGTAATTCCAGAACCCTTAAAGCTTAAATTTAGCTGGAAAATTATATGGTTTTGATTTGTTAGCACTGTTTCCATGCAGTGATGTTCAAACGGAATGACACTGTGATTACTGATGTTTCAAACTATCTGTCAACATTTTGTCATTTAACTGTCTCCCTTTTTTTTGGGAAAATGCATAATTTGGAAAATCAGAAGCTGCGTTCATTTTTTGACACGCTTTTCCATGTTTATTTATTCATGAAGTATTCATTCAAAACTTAATTGTTCTATTTCCATTATCTTAGTCCCAAGAGATGAAGTTCTCTTCACTCAAAAAAGAAAAAAAATCAATGCCTACAACCCTTGATCATGAATAAAATACTTCTTCGAAACAAACATCAAGTATACACGTAGATATCCTTTACAACCGCTCCGTCCTTTATATATTCTACATGGGATCTCTCAATCATTTATTGATATGTATCTATGTACTGAAATGCAGCATGAATGCCTCACTCACCAGCTATCTGATCTGGTGAGAGGTCTATTTCATCTTCAGCTTGTTCTGACGTCGTAGACTTGAATAATAAAAAATGATTAAAAATATAGTATAAAAGATATCCTGACTTTTTCCGATAATAGATTGTTTTAACGACCCAGCACAAGAATAAGTTGGTCAGGGTTACCCATTAGAATATGATATTGGATATGTATGCAGTGTATCAATGTTAAATTTTAAATTCCAATCACAAGCTACAGAATAAACCCCTATCATCTGCAGGGAACATTTATTACATCCAATGTGGGATGCAGCAGGCTATTAACTCATCCAAAATGTGAGAAGCCATCCGTATTAATATGGATAGGGGTACGCATAATGCGATAAGCTGTCAATAAACTCTCACCTGTTTCATAAGTACTAGAATACACGGAGGACTAGGACGAGGAAATAAATAACTGTACAGTACAAATTGTTTGGTAAAGCAAATCACGAAAATGTTTGTTCTTTGTAAAATAAGGGCAAGTGCAGCTTTAAGCTATGTCCGGCAACTGCATCGAATAAAAGACTAAGATGATTTAAAAACCAATGATAACAATGATTTCTGCAAGTGGTCCATATTCATAAAACGATAAAAAAAAAACTAAACTTAAATACCATTTAGCATAGAAACATTGTTAACATGTTAGTCATTCAATGTTTGTATGAGCACAGAGATAGACAAACGAAAAATCTATTTTAAAACAATAGACTGTGATTCGGGTTAGGCATGTCATATAAACCCAATCAATTATCCTTTAGAATAACCCTAGCATGATGCCTCTATTTCTATTTAATCACACGGTTACTACCACCACCTTCAACAGAATTAGTCGCCAAAAATCATTTATCTATTGTTTGCAATATGATACTTACCATTTTTAAGGAAATCCCTGTTTTCGCCTACATAGGGCCTATTAGTCGTATAATACGGGTAGTCATGAGCTGTTGGAATCTTCAATGTGTCCGTTTAGTACTAAACTGTGGTTGTTTTGATATCTGAACGAATCGATTTTTATGCATGGTTTGATGGTTTTATAAGCCAGGGTATAAGCAATATGTGAATTGTTTTATGTTGGTAGCTCATTGTATTTAATTATCCTGTACAGTTGTGACTAATTCTTTATATGAACGTGTCTCGTTTCCAGTCACCCGTAATCTAATACTTCGGCTATTGTAATGTCCTCAGATACGTTTCAAACGGACAGACACGGGTTTGGTGCACGTCACTCAAAAGGTAACTGGTAGCGATTCTGGTGCCAAAGTCTGCAACGACATCAAGCAAATATCAAAACAATCAATTAATGATGATGATATGGGTGCACACCTGAAGTGGGATATGACGCATTTTAACAATATAATATAAAAAAAAAAACTTATTTTTACATTGTTTGATTATATAATACTGTAATTTAGATATGACTTATCTTTTCGTCCTTAAATACATTGTTGTGTATTGTATTAGATTTATGGAAATTTATAAGGAACATTGGCAATGCTTTTAGCCTTTCACCTTTTTGGAAGTTTACCATGAAGTGCAAAAGTTCCTTAGATGTCAAACTAAAACTGCACAATCATTTATTAAGTCATAAAAAAGCTATTGTGATGTCGTAGACATATTTATTGATGATGGACTTTTGTCGAGCTAAACATATGGTTATATGAACCTGAGAAAGCGATAGTGACCGAGACGAACTGTTTATAAAAACAGTAACATGGAGTCAGTATCACAAATCGCTGACCTTTGACAAAACTATTAAGCATTAAGGTAAATATGTGTCATCTTATATAAATAATATAAATACATAATATCACTATAACACTATAGAGAAATGGGATGGCCTCCATTTCACGGCATCATTAACCTTAGTATTTACTAGTGAACTGTCATAATTGTGATAACGATACATTTAAGGTTATAAAAAATATGTTAATTTGATGTCATTATAACGAACATTAAATAATGGAAGTAGATAAATTTACTAAAAATGTGAAAACATGTAGGTAAAAATATTGAAACTTTGCTGCATTAGTTTGCATGAAAGTAATAGTAGACTGCTTTAAACCGGTTGCATGGGTTGTTATATTGTACCACACATTTGTGAGACTAGTTATCGCCCTGACTTTGCACTGTTAGTGACGATTGACCTAGATAATGCAAAGCACATGGCTTCTGAGTTGTCCAATATAACGACAGTATGCCAAATTAATAAATCAGATGGTTTTGGTATTTTTAAATTTATAGAAAAGATACATGCATGTGGAGAAACGCAGACCAATAAATATGTCTTAACGGTAAAGTGGTGCTATGAAGGGTTCACTTAAATGTAGCTGTAACATATAAACCCACAGAGTACTTCTACAGGCATTGGGGTATAACCGTATGTGTATAGATGAAGAGATTTCCCCAGGCTATTGAATTGATAGCATAAATATAGATAAATGCAGTGGATATAAACCAAATAAAATATTCAAATAAATTCGAAAACAATACGTTCGGATCAAATAACGATTATGTTTCACATATTATATGCATTAGAAACCGTTTTAGTTTCATTGTTTTTGTTTGTATTTTTAATAACATAAAATAGTAATTTGTTCTAGTATTTATTACAGAATACTTTCTGTTTTCCTATGAACCAGTGATCCGTGCCATTCCTTATTTAATTTCTTTTCTCAAAATAAGATAAAGCACGTTTCAACTTGGTTATCTTTATTCTTTATCGAAAACATATCTCTACCCTGATGGTTAAAGTAAAAACAAAATATTTACACAAAACATTGGCCTCGATACTATGATAGGATTCCGGAGCAGCGATTGCATATCTGATAGTCAGAAGCGAAAGAGTCTGGAACAATTAAGGGCTCTCAGGGGAAACGTTTCTTATTATTAATATGCAGCAGTATTACTATGTTCAGTTAGTTACCGAATGGCAGAGAATCAGTATATCTGAGTAAAGATGGTGTGTAATAGTTACTCGTGCATGTTATTTCATATACATTTAGTTCTAAACTAAAACGAAGGAGTGGAATCTGTGAAGGAATATGCTGGGGTTAACATTTATAGAGGATGGTCTGTTGTCGGTTTATTTTGAAACAACATCTTCCAAATCAAGCGAGTGTACTGATTAATCTGAGATTGTGGAGCTTACACTACAGAATGCATGTCGTGTAATACTTGTGCTGATAGCTTCAACAAGATTGGTTGCCCGACTCTTACAAGTGTTCCCCACCACAACAGCCATAACCAAGAAGACGCTTAAATCTACAGATAAAGAGCCTTGCATTGATATCAACTGATTCCCTCTCCCAGCTTCAGTAAGACACCGCCATCTATTTTTGTAAACAGAACACTACATGTGTTGGTTTGTGGTTTTAGGGCGGTGAACATAACATTTCCTCAATGCGTCTTAGAGGTATGATTTGTTAACTGTATATCAAACAGGATTTTACAAAGCACAAACAGGCTATAGATATTGATAACCAATTTAGCGGCTGTGATTGTTCTTCATACGGGGCTGTCCGCGCTGGTTCTGAATAGTTAATTAAGGCAGATCGGTTCCAGATCACAGCGCAGTGTTCAATTATCGACTAAACTGCAATACACTAAGAAGACTCTGACCTTTCGAGAAAAGGACTATATTTTGTAAATGGGCCAAAAAGATTTGATATTCTGATATAACGTATTTAAGACTGCTCCTGCCAAACCCAAATTACCAGAATAATTACACTGTGACCAAGTAAGACGGAGGGACAACTGTAATGTCAGAATCGCCCTAGCTCACGGTGAGTTTTTTTTACTTTACTATCAGATAAAAAACAAACTACTCTTCACTGATATAAATGTGTGTTAATGATAATAGCGGGCCTGCCTGATGTTTTGGAGCACCTGACTACACTACAGGTGAACAGCTGTCGGTCATATGTTAAGCAAATAAAACTAATAGCTGTAACCATCACACACTTCGAACCCGTACGTGCTGGGCTCATTTTATTGTTTAAGATGAAAGCAGACATTTAAACTTTTCACAGAACTTATATTTACTGAAATCACCTTATCCACTTTCGTATGCTTTATTTGTGTGTTCATGGAGAATTGTTGTATAACAAATCACTTTCTGGATTCACTTAATTGGATTATAACTTATAAACATTGACCTTTGAACTACAACACCTTCGTTTTGTACTCGGTGAGGCGCAGGCAATGGAGTAGTCATCGACATAGGTAAAGAAACATACAGCTAATTGTTCTGAATGGAAATTGAAGAATTGGCATCTTTTCAAGTAATTAGGTTCCGTAAGATATAGTTTGAGAACGAAACAATGTATAAGAATTTATTTGTGCATGCTTACCTATGATATCTGTGATGTATGTACTGTATTTTATTGTATTTGGTTCTCATATCCCTCTCGTAACTATAAGATTAGACTTTATCCTTTATACAGAAAAAAATTCGTTTAGTTGGTACGCTAATATGTTGTGTTTGGATATATTACACACATATTTATTACTCAATTTAAATATGATATATATAACTGTAAAAATACATTTTATGTGAAATAATATTAAAAAAAAAGATGCATGCGTTTCACTTATACGCACATCACTGTTTTGAATCCCCTCAGGGGCAAAAACTATGCCTGTTTGTATATCAAGCATCTGAAAAGTATAATAAAACTTACTTGATTTACTTCAAAGTTAGTGTGACGTATATGAAGATTGAGACGGTGTACATGATGTCTAAGTTGATATCTCTCGATTGATTATTTTGCAGATGGAACATCTCTCACAGGAACAAATAGATGGTAAGTTTACGTCGTGGTGAAATACACCCTAAAATCATCTCGCAGAACGCACACTCCTGTATGTGACGTAATCTAGTCAGACGCCATAGTTCTCTATGCAGTTCATTAGCTATTATGATGCTGCAGCTTGCAGCTCCAAAACACTACGTTTTAATAGAGCTTCTCGACTATGTCTATGATAGCGTAAAGTACAGATAAATCCCTCCACTTATAAAGTGAAGTAGAGAAGAGGAGGCCGATAGGTACTATGAAGGATGGTACGAGTTGACTGTTTTCCGGTAGAGGAGACGAGACAAGTCTTGGTCAGGTCACTTCATTCAGGTTAGAACAACAGCATAAGTAAATGATCATAACTTATGACCCTTATTACTCTATCACTTACAACCACTCCCGTTTCGCTCCCTTTTGCCTTACTGCAGAGTGTACTACCATTTCCATGTGTATAAATATAAATATAGATCTACACAGGTCATTATCCTAATCTTCCATCAAGTTACGTCACGGTTTTCGACAGTCACTGAAAGCCGACATTGTAGGTTTTCACTGTACCGAATGAGAATTTCACATCCTCATATTACGAACGCGTGTAG